TAAAAATAATAATAATAATAAAGGGAGAAATGTGGGATCAACATATAAATCAAGTATAAAAATCAAACGAATATTCATATTTGACCTGATTGTTTATAGTTCATAATGCGTGATCAAAACCGAAAGTTTCTGTGATGAATGCCCTTGTACAGTTCACCATGTAAGAATTTATTCACTATGTAAGAATTCGTTCACCATGTAAGAACTTGTTTGTTATGCTTCAGAAGATTGGAGACTGACGAGAATTAGGCTTGAGATGGATTAAAGATTGTACATTGAGCATTGACCCCCCTATACTGAATTTTATTGTTGTTAACAACCATTTGATCAATAAATATGAGAGATGCCCTCAAAAAAAAAAACATAAAAGGAACTAATTTTTGCAGTTTAAAAAAATTATTTTAATTGTGATAGACTGCACATAACATAAAGGTAACCATTTATACCAAATTTAACTGTTCAGTAGTTTTAGATATATTCACACTGTTGTACAACCAATCTCCAGAACTCTTCCCACCTTTTAAAACCAAAACTTTACCTATTAAAACTCCTGCATTTTCCTTTCTATCAGCCTCTGGGCAACCACCATTCTTTTTGTAGTTCTACAGGTTTTCTCTCTTTTTTTGGTGGAATTTTTAGGTTTTTCTACATGTAAGATCATGTTATCTGTGCACAGAGGTAATTTTACTTCTTCCTTTCAAATTAGATGTCTTTTCTTGCCTAATTTATCTGGTTAGGACTTCCTATACTACGTTGAATAAAAGTGAGAAAAGTAGGCATTCTTGTTGTGTTCCAGATCTTAGAGGAAAAGCTTTCTGTCTATGGTGTCAGAGTTGGCTTTTCATATATGGCCTTTATTACACTGAAGTAGTTTCTTTCTATTCATAGTTTTTTTTAATGTCTTACCAAAAAAGGTGCTGAATATTGTCAAATGCTTTTTCTGCATCAATTGTGATGATCATGTGGGGTTTTTTTTCTGTATTCTGGTAATGAGGTGCATTACACTGATTTGCAGATGTTAAACCATTCTTGCATTTCAGGAGTAAATTCCACTTGGTCATAGTATATAATACTTTTAATGTGCCACTGAATTTTCTTTGCTAGTATTTTGTTAAGGATTTTTGCATCAATATAACTAGGGATATTGGTCTGTAGTTTTCTTACCATTTTTTTTGTCTAGCTTCAATATCAGGGTAATGCTGCTCTCATAGAATGAGTTTGGAAGTGCTCCTTTCCTCTTCAATTTTTTGGAAGAGTTTGAGGAGGACTGGTACCAGTTTTTCTTTCACCAGTTTTAAATCATCTGCTCCTGGGATTTTGTTAGAGGGTTTTGATTACTGGTTCAATCTCCTTACTAGTTATAAGTCTGTTCACATTTTCTATTTCATCATGATTTATTCTTGATAGGTGGTGTGTTCCTAGGAATTTACCCATTTCATCTAGGTTCTCCAGTTTGTTAGCATATAATTGTTCATAGTATTCTCACGATCATTTTTATATCTATAGAATTAGTTGTAATGTCCCCTCACTTCTGATTTTAATTCTTTTGAGTATTTTTTTCTTACTCAATATAGCTCAGGGTTAGTCACTTTTGTTGATCTTTGTGAAGAACCAACTCTCGGTTTCACTGATTTTCTCAATTGTTTATCCATTCTCTATTCCATTTGTCTCTCATATAATCTATATTTCCTTCCTTATGCTCGTTTTGGTTTTCTAGCTCCTTAAGGTGTAAAGTTAGGTTGTTAACTGGAGACCTTTCTTTTTCTAAGATAAGCATCCATAGCTATATATTTCCTTCTCAGCACTACTTTCACTGTATTTATCCCATAAGTTTTAGTATATTGTGTTTTTATTTTTTATTTTCTTATTTTCTTCTGACTTTTTATTTCCTTGTGACTTGACAAAATCAAGCTGAGTGATCTACCTCAAAGAATTTCACTACCATTACCTAAAAGCCCTACTGAACTCCACTGCCAGCCCCAAACCACAAATTATAAAGTGCAGCTCATACTGGTATTGAAGTAATGCTCGATCCCACATCAAAGGTAGCAAAAGCACAAAAAGAAAAGACAATCACAGCATACCTGATATTTACTATGATATACGGGATAGAGTCCGGGCTGATCACCAAGCTATTTTCCCTTTTCCCAGATAACATGACTAGACTACATTTCCTTTGGAGTTAAGTGTGAACTTGGGTAGAGTTAGGTGAGACCCAGGAAAGTCAATGGTAAATTTCCAGTCTGAAGGCCAGCAGGCTTGAGACCCAAGCAGAGGCAATGTTTCAGTTGCAGTCCTACAGTCCTAAGGCTGGAAAAGACTGCAGTCCCAGCACACTCAGGCAGGAGGAGTTCCATCTTCTTCACTGGAAGATCAGTTTTTTTGTTCTATTCAGGCCTTCAGCAGATTGGATGAAGGCCACCCACACTAAGGAGGACAATCTGCTTTACTCAGTCTAACATTCATATGTTCATCTTAATGCAAAATAACACTCTCACAGATACATCACATCCGACCAAAGATCTGGGCACTTGGTGGTTCAATCAGATTGACACATACAATTATTCATCAAAGTCATCAAATCGTTATGAACACCAGCAACAAGAAATTGTATTAGGCCTCTGAGATTTTTTTTTTCCATTTGAGCATTACTGTAACTAATACATACCATTAAGTAAAAATTGGGTATTTTTTAAACTAAATCAGAAGACCTAGAAACAATGAAAATATCTCAAGAAATATAGCAAAATGTGGGAAAAGAACCAAAATAGCAGAAATAATAGTTGAAAATACATCTTTCTGGCATTTTAGGCAACAAAGTGCTACAAAACATTCAAAGGAGTTTGGATCTGATCCTATAAAAGAGAGAAACTCTGAAGGTCTGAGATTAGTGAAAGGATCAGAGCTGAAATTCTGGATGTGGGAATATTATTTGGCTGTATTAATTACTGAAAGAATGAATTCAATCAGCACTGAGTTTTAAAACCATAGCTACACACTAAAATCAAAATTGACTAAATAACATCATTTTCAAACTGATGTTTATATAAACATAATTACACATTCACTTATTTAAATTTAGGATTTATACTACTTCCACTTAGTTCCAAAAGAATAGCTTGAGGCAACTTGCAAAACACAACCTTTCATATTTTCAAAGACAAAAATATAAACTTACTGAGGGCTGGAACTCTCAGTTTCTGTATCCACAGTGTCCCAAAGAGCGCTGGTACATGACAAACAAGAGCAGATATATGTTTATAGAATGAGTAAATGAATGCATAAATGATGGGAAAAAAAAGGTTAAAGCAGCAGGCAGGAGGGAAATAGATATTATTAAGCAACCAGCTAGGATGAACTTGTTGCAGCTGCACTGAAACAATAAATTTAGCAGAAGGGTTTCTAGGCAAATAGGAGAAAATGAGGAATACAATGGGGGAGTGTTCACTGTCTTTAAAAGTCTACAAGATCCTTGGAGGGAAAAATCCTTTTCTAGAATTTAACTCCTAGAAAAATTTGTGGTCTGAATCCTTACATAATAGATGTCTTTAACTATGATTTTATGGGAGACAAAGAGTATGTCAGTGCTTCTACCACTGGCCCTCTGAAGTTTGTTACAACATTGTTAAACCTAAGCTGGTAAAGGCATTTCCATAGAGAACAGAGATAATGGGCTACAAATTTTTCAGTTTCATGATCTAATTTAACATGGAGGAATTAATATTTTAAAATCCTACTCAACATGTGAAGAAGATCTCTTATTGAGAGTTATTTCAGAATCTTGCTATAGATGTGCTGCAATGCAATTCATAATTTAGTATGCAATTCATAATTTACTAGAAAAAATAATTAACAGAAAATTAGAAAGATTTTGTTACCATATCACAAAAGTAAAACTGGACAAATTCACCCAAATTAGAGGGTATTCTTAGAATTATCTGGTTACACAGCACATAAAGAAAATTCACTTTGAATGAGGTGGGAATGAGGCAGGAAATGAGGTGGGAAGACAAGTAACAATGGCATCATAGAGTGACAGCTTTCTCCAAAGAAACTGCAAGACTCGATTTGAAATGCAGCTGTTTTCTCACAGAAGAAATTAGCATACTTCAGGATAAATGGCATCAGGGATTTATAATTTTGTGATGGCTAATGTTTCCAAAAATTCAAGGGAGGATAGCCAGTAGATAATAAAATTCACCATTCACAAGTTCACTTGACAAACATTTGTGATTGCCAATTATGTGCTAGGAACTAAGTTAGTGAATTTACAGTAATTCACAAAACAAACATAGCCCTTTATCTCAGAGTTTATATTCTACAATGAAAATCACATATTCAGCAGATAACTTAGATATAATATGTAAACTGTAATAAGTGATAGAAAAGTAAGAAGTTGTAAGAGTTGGTAATTAGGGAACTGAATTTATGTGGTGGGGAAAGGGTGAGAGAAAGCCTCTTTGATAAAGTTACTTAAAGTAAGATGTTGTAAGGAAAACGGAAGATCTTATGGCCAGGATCCTTACCTGACCCTCATCTACTTGATGATGTAATCATAGGCACATGATCACACACTTGCTGGCAATGAGCCATTATTGTCAATGTTAATATATAAAGAGCTCTGCCTGGTGCTCTGCTAGGAAGGCAGAGATGGAGATGGATTGAGGACTTGCTAGAGGCAGACATGATTCTAGCACTGGACTTGCCACCATGAACATAAAGCTTTGTATTAAACCCTTTACCCCTAATGTTATGTTGTTATTCAGTCTCACCTAATCCAGAGAGAACTTGCCTGGGGCTGAAACCCTCCAGCGAGACATCTGATGTAGTTGGAAGGATTCACTACAGACCGAAAGATGGAATAAGCTGTCCTCAGGGGAGGCATGCTTCAGCGATCTTCCCCATGGATGACGAGATACCCAGGTATCCCCCAGTGGGCACATGGATGGAGGTGGTGATCCTCCTGGAGGAGTGAGTTCCTCCCCACGACTGGGGGGAAGCAGAGGTGATGCCTGAGGCAGTAGAGGAGGCCCTTTGCAAAATAGGGAGGTCCTTGGAGAAACAGAGTGCCCACATGGTGGTGGGAACTGTGGGTTGGCTATTTCTCACACTGTTAAGAAGGGCCATAAAGGAGAAGGATGTGCTCCTATGAGAAGCACAATAATGCAAGTTGCAAGGTGCTGTGGAGGAGGTAAAAGAGTCTTTGCAGAATGAGATGGCAGCACTGCCAGGCACTGTAGAAGTGGCACAGGATTTGAAGGAGAAGGATGTACTCCTGCAAGAAGAATAAGAAGCAGTGCAAGAATTCCAGCTGCAAGTTACTGAGAAAGCAAGAAGGTAAGAGAGCTGTTGAAGACTGAGATAGTGTCACTGTGAGGCACTGTGGAAAAGGTAAAGGATGTAGCAGAGGAGGCACACTGTGGAACAAGAGAATTGCCATCAGCCCCGGAAATGGTGCAGGAGCCAGGGGAGAACTAGAGGGTAGAAGTGGTGCCAGAGGCCCCATCCCTCCTTTATTGAAATCCTGCCCAGTTGTAGTCAAGAAAATAAAGATGCAGCAACCATAAGTTCCTCCCAGAAATGTATAGCACCCTCTCCAGGTGGTGGAGTACTCTATGCTCTGCCCCTATACACAGGCGGAGCTGGTGGATTTGGATTCCTGGTTTTGGCAGAAACTCTCAGAGTCCATTTCAGCTTGGCTCCTGCACTTTTGAAAGGTAGGGGTGGATGGGATCATTCTGTCTGGATCAGAGATGGGAAAGATGGCTTCCCTGATAACTCATCCTGCTTTGTGGCAGCAACTGCAGAATACACACCAGACTCCAGGAAATCCATTCACTTTTCAAGTAGGTAATGGCCACACTTCACCCTGTATGGCCCAATTAGGCCTTCCTCTGCTAGATGGCAGATGTATGCTGAACTCCAAAAGGTGTTACAGGAATTAGGCATGAAAAAAATGCCATTTATAACCCAGTAAATTATGGCCCTGGACAAGGATATAGCAGGGATGAGAGATATAGCGGCACAGATGCCTACACTGGCCAGGTGGGGCTCATACCTGCAGCAGTGTAGCACCGTCTCTACTTGCCCCTTTAGTGAATAACTCCAATGCTTCCTGTGATATATACTAGTGAAAGGCAGGAAGAATTTACTTTAGAGCCACTACTAGCAGAGAACTCCTAAATCTGAAGATGCATGGTACACAGATGGTTCCAGCCATGGGCAGCCCCCAAAATGGAGGGCTGTAGCTTTCCATCCTAAGACTGAGACAATATGGATGGAAGATGGTGAGAAGAGCAGTCAATAGGCAGAACTGCGGGCAGTATGGCTCATGATCATCCAGGAGCCTTCTCCCATAGTTGTCTTCACTGACAGCTGGGCCATTTATCGGGGCTTGACCCTGTGGCTACCGATATGGTATCATGCAAACTGGATGGTTGGTCACCAACCTCTTTGGGAGCAAGAGTTGTGACAAGACTTATGTGCCTCTGGTCAAACTAAAACAGACTATATCACGTGACAGGTCATTTGCTTAGGGCATCCCCAGAAAACAATGAAGCAGATGAATTGGCCCAGGTATATTAGCTAGAAGGAAATCCTTCCTCTGATATGGCCCAATGGTTACATCAACATTTGATGCATGCAGGGAAGAAGACAATATGGGTTGTAGCCTGTCAGTGAGGCCTGCCTTTAACCCTTGAAGAAGTCAGCAGAGCCTAGTAGCAGAAGCCATTGTTTTCTCTAAAAGAGACTTACACTGAGTTCCATAGCAACCTGGGATGACAGCTAAGGGACCTATACCCTGCATCCGGTGGCAGATAGGCTATACTGGGCCTCTGCCCGTGTCAGAAGGGTATCGATATGTCATGACTGGTGTGGACACAGCTACTGGACTTCTGATTGCTTTTCCTGTGCATTGTGAAGACCAGCAAATGACCAAAAGAGACCTGGAGCATCTCTTTGCAGCCTACGGCTGACCGCAGGTAGTTGAGAGTGATCAAGGTACCCACTGTACTGGACATGCACTACAAGAATGGGTGCAACAATTAGGGATAAAATGGAAGTTTTGTGTAGTACATAATCCTACTGGGAAAGGCCTCACAGAGAGGTACAGTGGTTTGTTAAAATCTGGTCTGACATCAGATACTAATAGTCTATGGGGATAGCCTACTTATGGACAGCGCTAAGACATCTTAATGAGAAGCCCTGAAAGGAGGAACTGAGCCCCACAGACATGCTAACACACATTGCTGCCTCCCCTACACAACTACAAATACAAACTAAAGAGAAACTGTTGAAGCTAGGGTTTGGCCACCACAGTCTCTTGCTACCAGCACTGACTACAATAAACCCCCAAGATTCCATTCAGACAATGTGGTGGCCTTAGACATTTTGACACATGGACCAGTGATGGCTGGCCTTCCTAACATCTAGGGGACAAGGCCTGGAAGCTGGCCTCATATGTATTCTGGGAGTAACAGCACAGTGGCCTCCAAAGATCACAGTACTGTACCCTAAATGTCCAGAAGGTAAAAAGCATCTTACTGGAGGAGTTTTGTTTTATTGTTATGGCCAGTGCATGCACCTCCAGTAGCACTATACACAGACCCCCTCAGTAACCCCAAGAGATATGGGTAAAGGTATGGTATACTAGACCCAGATGTGGGACCCCCTTCGTGCCACAGTCCTATCACCGGACCACTCTCTTGCATGCATCCTACCTGATGGACAAGAGTTGCCTATGTTGGTGTCACTAAAACATGTGTCTTATTGCCCTTAATATTAATCTCTTCTAATGTCATCTGATTGGGCACACCCCCAGCAGTCCTGCTGCTTGCTAGATGTGCACAGAGCTCCCTACAAGTTCTGCTACTGGCCTCCTGTGGAAAGTGTGAGTCATGAACTTGTCTGAATCTAACTGGTTTGAATACAGCTGGAATAACCACTTGGTGGCAATTGATCTCCTCAGGCTTGAGGATTATCATAATTTCTGTTGTTATGTGTATCATAATTTTTGCTGTTATCTGTACATTGTTATAGCCTCTGTTGGTGTTGTGGAAATGGTTATAATGTTCCAGCTTTCTCACATAAGGACCATCGTGGAAAACTGAGGGCACACAGATTATGAGGTGAGAATCCTGGAGGGGTAGAATGTAGGGAAAATGGAAATACCTATGACCAGGATCCTCACCTGACCCTAATCTACTTGACGATGTAATTGGCCTACTGACTAGACGAATGCTTACACACCGGTTAGCAATTAGCCATTACTGTTGATGTTACTATATAAAGAGCTCCGCTCAGTGCTCTGCCCAGAAGCAGAGGTGGAGGCAGAGACGAACTGTAAATGTCCCATAGGCAGATGTGATTCCAGCACTGGATCTGCCACTGTGAGAATAAAGCTTGGTATAAACCCGTTTACCCACAACTTCAGTTGCTGGGTCAGTTGTTATTAGGTATCACCAAGTCCAGAATAAATTTGCCTGGGGCTGAAACCCTCCAGTGAGACAGATGCAAAGGACAGAAAGAAGTGATTTCCCTAGGTCAGGGACAAAGGAAGCAGCGTGTGACAAAGGAACTGAACAGGGAAGAGAGCAAGAAGAGTAGTGCTGTTTTTGAGTATTTACTGTGCTTCAAGCATATTAATTCCCATCTTTACAGCACCCTATGGTAAATGTGTTAGTATCCCATTGTACAAAAGGAAAGTGAGGCCATGCGAGATGAGTAAGTTACCCAAGCATACCCAAAAATGCTTGCTACTAAATAGGAGAAGCAAGACTCAAAATTAGGTCTAGCTTCAAGCTCTACATTCCTTTCATAAAGGCTCTAAGGTTAGGTTTAATAATTTAATCCTCAGTAAATGACATTAAAGTTTCAAGCCTATAATACATAATATAAGGTTAAATATTTTCCTATTATGTTCCACCCTTTAGACATACATTCCAGTTTCTGTGGATTTTGTATTTTAAAAGCCAAATTTTAATGTGTATCCAAATTATATTTTTTGTACACAGATTCTGTTAGTTGGTTAAATGGCCTTTAAAATCTTTCCAGCAAAGATTAGGCTACATAAAAATATAAAACCCAGCAACTTCATGTTATTAACTTATGTTTCTATGATACTTTAAAATTTTACCAAGTACTCATCAAATTTCAGGATATTTAAGAAGATATTTGCATTTCTTAGTTTAAAAGCTCAAGCATAAGTAGTAAGGCTTACTACAGTAACTATAATTATCATATGCTAGATAACATAAATGTTTCTAAATATCTCCTTTACTTAACAAAAGCTTCAAGAAAGAATGTCTTCATTAACTACTAATACTTCTAACTTCCTATGGTAGACAGAATACTCCTCCCCTGCCCAAGACACCCTAATTCTGTTGCCTCACATACTAAAAGGGACTTTGCAAATAGAATTAAGGTTGCTAATTAGCTGGCTCTAAAACAGGGAGAGTAGCCTGGATTATATAGGTGGGCCCAATACAATCAAATGGGCCCTTAAAAGTAGAAGAGGATGTTGGTCAAAATGGGCAGGAGAGATTTGCAGAGTAAGAGGGATGCCATGCACCACAGGGACCTTGAAGATGTAAGGGGTTGTGAGCCAAGGAAAACAGCCCTCAGCTGCCAGTCAGCAAGGAAACGGAAACCTGAGTTCCACAACCACAGAAAACTGAATTTTGCCACCAACCTGAATAAGCAAAGAAGCAGAATCTCCCCCAGAGCTTCTAGTTAGGAAGGATGCCCTGATGACACCTGGATATTAGCTCCGTGAGATGTGTGTCAAACTTCTGCCTTATAGAATTGTGAGAAAATTAATTTGTATTGCTGTAAGCTGCTAAATTTGTCATCATTTGTTATGGCAGCAATCAAAAACTAATACTTTTATTTCTGCACTACTTAATTCTAGCTGCTCTTCCTATAACCAAGTCTTAGTTGATAAGAATGATAGCATTTTTCATTCCGATTGTCTACAGCTTTCCTGCTCTTAATGGCTGCCTCTTGGAGCCCTTTTCTCCCTTGGTTGCTGTCCTGCCAATGGTTTTCAGCCCCAGGCAAGTTCACTATGGATTCAATGTGACCAAAAAAATGACAGCAGAACATTCTTGGAGTGAAAGGATTATACCCAACTTTATTTCCATGGTGGCAGGTCAATCATTAGAGTCCTGTCCACTCAGAGAGAGTCTGCATGCAGCAAGGCTGTCTCTGCCTCTGGGCCTCTCTGCCCACACAGCCTTCCTCTGAGCCTCTCTGCCTGCACAGTCATCCTCTGGGCCTCTGTCCTTGGTGCTGCCACCACTCCAGCTTCTGCTCTGCTCTCCTGCAGCCTTGCCACCATGTCACCCAGAGCACTGGGCAGGGCTCTTTATATAGAGAGTCAATAATGACACATTGCCCACACGTGTGTAGTGAGCTAGCCAACCAGGGCTAGGTGAGAATCCTGGCCACAGGAACGTTCACTTTATCCACAGTTGCTATGCAACTGATTCTCAGTTTTCTTCCTTTTCTTTAATCTTCTGTAAATGTCAGTGTCCCTTAGCAGCATGGTTCTGTCCCCAGGCTTTCTTCTTATATCATATATACTCTTGACTTCTACCTCTAAGAGCTAACCAAGAACCCCCAGATTTTATCCACAGCTCAGAGGTTACTGTTTTCAAATCATGATCCATCTTCAAGATCCCAAAGCCTCCATTAATTTGAACTTGATCTTTGCTTCCAAACCCAAATCTTTCTCCTTAATTCCCATCTCCCATTAACTGTACCTCCAGTCAACCAAATCAGTCACTTTGCCATTATGTTAAAGACTATTCTTTCTCACTGGTTCCCTATGTCATTGTTAACTAAATGCATTTGGCTATTTCTTAAATGTCTCTTTCTACCCCCATGCCTCTGCTTTAATTCAGGAATCCATCATTTCTGAAAATTATCTACCACTTTGCCATTGTTTCCAGTCTTGCTAATCTCTAAATCTATCCTCCACCTTCTAACATGCTCAAAACAAGAATTATCTGTTTATAAAACTTTCAATAGTTCTCTGTAGTTCTCAGCATAAATTTTGGCCTTTTAAGACTCAGTCATTTCACAGTTTTTAAGTCACCTATTTAACACATTTATGCTTTTCTATATGCTGTTTCTTATAAGATGCCTTCCTGCTGGCTGTTCAGTTTTAATGGCCAACTGAGGATCCATCCACCACTGGTATGCCATAAATCACTAAATTTTGCATTGTCATGCAGCTTCAGGAACTCAAGTACAGACTGATATAATAGAAAGTACACTGAACTTGGCACCACAACACCAAATTTCTAGTTCTATTTATTAAAAAGGCAAGAGTTTATTAAAACTGCTCTGGGCCTGTTTTTCCATCTGTCAAGTTAAAGTCTCAAACTAGATGATCTAAAGGTTCATTAAAGTAGACAATTCTAGCTTCCTAATTAAAAGACACTAACACATATTAGGTACTGAAAGCAAGTAAGGTTAATATACAGCACTGTTCAGTTTCTACAGATCCATCAAAATACATCATTTATACACAATAAATTTTGTCTACTAGATAAAGTATATAGAGTGTCTTGTTCTAAGGATTTAGGGATAAGGTCTAAATGTGATTGGAAGACAGAACCAATTAGATGGAAGGCAAAACTGTACTGCAGAGAGGTCAAACTTAGCGAAAAGAGGGCTACCTAGAGCGATGTAAAAAATTTAAGGCAAGCAAAATACTAAGACTAGATCTTGGTTTCAATGGCTTTTATGCATCAAAAACTTTCAGTATAAATTATTTTATTTTGAGACTTCTTCCCATGGACATTCGATTTATTTTCTCTTTCCTCGTTTTGAGCTTTGTTGGCATTTGCTTTTAAATCCCAATCAATACTATGCTGATGGACAGTGACTGTAATGGGGTATGTGGTGGGGACTTGATAATGGGGGGAATCTAGTAACCACAATGTTGGTCATGTGATTGTATATTAATGATACCATAATAAAAAAAAATCCCAAACAAATGCCTCTTCCTTGTTATTTGGGCAGATGCTACAAATAAAATCAGCCAAGCATCTGATCGTAAACAGCCTTTAGGTGATAATGAGACTCTAGTAATTACGGCTTCATTGGATTCAACTCAACCCTCCCACCCCCTCCCCAGCGGCGCACAGAGGGGTCCAGGCTGCGCATCCAGGGAGTGGCCCGAGTCACAAGTCGCCGCAGTGATGGCCGGGTCCCCTCGTCTTTACGGAGGCGGGCATTGCGTAAGCTGAGTCTATTTTGATGTCGTTCGCGTCTCTGTGAGAAGTAGCTGCTGTGGTGAGTGGCGCGAGACGAGCCTCGGGTCCCCTCTGCGTCCCTCGGGGGCGCTTGCCAGAGCTCGAGCGCGTAACGGGGCTGACATGGTAACCGCTGGAGTAACAGACTCGACTCTCTGGGGCCCTTAGTCCCCCAGGGCCAGGCGAGCTGGGCGAGGCCCTGGCTTCCCCCGCACCCGCCCGACCCAGCGCTGCAGGTGGACCCGCGGTGCCGGAGGACCCAACGCCCCGCGGCGGCATCAGCCCCGCCACCACAGGGCGGCCCCTCCTCACCCAGCGCCGGGGAGCCGCCCAAGAACCTCGCCCGCCGCTCCCCCATCCACGAACTCTACACACACACAGCCCTTCATCTGGACCCTCATATTCAGCCTGGTGGATCCCCAAAGAGAAGGGCGCGGCCCAGGAACCATGACTCGGACTCCCGACCCCGCCCAAGCGCAAAGGGCAATGGGAAAGTGGCTACTGCCCACTCACCTGTCTTACGGGCCTGTTTTCGGCCAAGGCAGCTCAGATGTCCGCGTCGCCGCCACCTGGTCCCCGCGTCTCCGCAGACCAAACCCGCCTGCGGCCGCCCAGCAGCGACCGCTAACCGCGCATGCGCGTGCGGCCGCAGGCCGGTGGGAGGCGGCGGAGGTGCGAGCCGCGCGCACCTGCTCCGAGGGGCTCAACGGCCGCGCCCCGCGCAGATCGCCCCCGGCCGGCGCTCGTAGGGCGGATTCGGCCCGCGGTTGGCAGGAAGAGCTCCTGCCCTCTCTGCAAACAGTGGGGTTGTACCTCCTACTGCACATAGTTGGGTGCGGAATTTGATGTAAATCATGTTTTTGAACAGCGTCCATCACCCCGGTCTTTCTTCCTAGAGTTCTGTATGTGAAAAGAGGAGCGGTCATTGTGGTCAATAGGAAGGCTCCTATTTTGTGGGTGTGGGTGTGAATAACATATTAAATGTTAACCTAATAAGCACGCTGTACGTTTTCTTTCTGAAATACTAATAAGAATTGCTAACCTCTATTATCTTCCTGTACTCTAAGGGTTTTAGATTCATTATCTCATTTAACTGTCACAACTCAGGGAAGAAAGTGCATATAATTACTTGCCTGAGGCTTTAACCAATAAAGGGTGGAAATAGGGTTCAAATCCAGGCCTGTCTCTCTCAGAGGCTGTAATTTTAACCAATACACTAAAAATAAAAATAAAGCATAAATGTAATATTGAATCACAAGTTTCTTTGCCCTATAGATATTGGATCACGTAGCTTATATTACATTTTATAGTAAATCTTGACATAATTAGGTATGATCACGATTTACAGTTTTATTGGGAAAATAAAATACTTAATTGACTTGTGGTACCCCTGTTAAAGAGTCCCAGGTTAAGGGATTGATGGCACTGCACACACAATATGTGATTATTGGCTAGACTTTAAGAACCCGTTTTTCATATTGCATTCGTAAGGCCCCATTGTAGACTGTTAATGCTGTCACCTACCCGAGTGTGTTTAGGGAGTGTTTTAATTTACTGGTTAGAAGGCAGATTTTATCTGAGGTATCTTGTAACAATATTATACCTTTAATTTATTTCTTCAGTCTTTCCAATTTCTCTCATTCTACATAATTCTGAGGCCCATAACAAATACACTTGACTTGGTAGAGAAGGATTTCTGAAGGATCCATGTGAAGTTTGTAATGAAGATGCTGAAAACCAAAAATTTAAGAACAGGGAACTTGAGCTAAATGGGCTGTTAGTCTCCCACTGATGTGAAAAGTTGTTAAAACTCCAGGATTCTGATAGCTGCTTAGTTCTTATTTTCTGTTTGGACTGTTGTTTTAGGGAAACCTACTTACCTATTTTAATAATAGTTTAATAGGAATTTAGAATGGAAAACTCAAGTACTTTCCTCTACTTCTTACAGGAAGTCTCACCAGCATTTATAGAACATTTATCTTTTGTGTGTTGTGTGCAAAAATTGGGGGGATGCAAAGATGACCTTCTACATGAGCTCTGCTTTCAAATAGCTAGTAGTATTATAGGAATACACATATACTAAAATATCCATAATATATGATGAATTATTTAATAGCAGCATGGACAAAATGTTATGGGAGCACAGAGTATGTTGCCATTCGTTATTCCTAAATGAAAGGAAATTTTATCAGAAATGCCACTGGACCTGTGCTCAAGGCAAAAGAAGTGGATGTTCTTGGTATCATGGTGAGAGCATGAGGTGTCCTGGAATAGAAAGTAGTCCTTTTTAGTTAGAAGTAGAGTGGACAGGTGGAAATGGCAGAAAATGATTCTGGAGTGGTATATTGGGGCCAGTTGATCAAGGAGTTTAAATGTCAAGGAACAGAATTTACACTTTATTCTTTGGATAGGGCCATCAAATTATTTTAAGCATAAAAGTGACAGGATCTGCTATAATTTTTGAAAGATAACTGGCCATTGTATGACCTACATTGAGTGATACCATTTGTAGGTGTAGTGTGAATGTCAAGATATGAATCCTTGCTGAAGTCCCAAGATAAAGCAACCTGACTGATTTGCATGTGGTCACAGATAACCTGGCTGTGATTCTAAAGCCTCTGGCTGCAGACCAAAAGCTAAGCATTGTTTAAATGCCTAAACAGGATGAAGGGAATAAGAAGGCAAATGCATCAGATTTATTGACATGAGAGAAATACAACTAGTAATGGTGGTGTAAAAGGTGTTGGTAGTCTGGGGTTCCAGAGGAAGGCAGCAGTGCCGACTTTCACCCTCTTTCCTTTCAATTTTCATCTCTTCACTTTAATGTATCTACAAAGGCGAGGCAAACAAATTTCAAGAACAAATTTTTTAGATTTTTGTTGTAGTTATCTTCCTTGGCACATGGCTAGATTGCATTTCTGCCTGTTTGAAGTTAGGCAGACTTACTTTAGCCAATGAAACATGAACAAATGTGAAGTGTGTCATTTCCAAGGGGAAGCATTTAAATGTCAGCACTCATCTCTAACCTTCCATTTTCCTGTCATGGTGATCATGGAAGCACACGTTGAGATACAGTTCCTGTCAACCTGGCTCTTGTGTGAGCGATGAATGGAAGCTGCTTGCTAACCTGGTATGGAGTTTATTCTTGTGTAGCATGTGTTTAGTTGAATTGAGTTCTCCTGGGTAATCACCTGGGCCTTGGGCCTCTTTTTGTTGTTATTTCTTAATAACTTCCTCTATTTCTTCTATAAAAATGTATTGGCTTAAGCTTTCTGTCTCTACTTAACATAAATTTTGATAACTGTATTTTCCTAAGAAATCACCCATTTTATTGGGGCCTTAAAAAAGAAAAACTAGTATCAGCAAAACAAAAACCTATAGTTTATATAACTTCCTCCTAATTCATTACCTATGACTGGCTATTGATATCAACACAGAATCTAAACATGCCAAGGTAATTAAAGAAAAAAGAAAAATGTAAGATGGTTTTCATGGGAAAATGCCCAGGTTTAGTTCCCATTATTTGTTCATAATTGTTGCACTTCTGCCACAGGGTGGAAGGTCCATGTAAGAGTATACAATAAACCCCAAGATATTTTTATACATCTGTGTTAGTAGAAAATTATTTTTTCCCTCTACCAAAGAGTGTAGTATACTATTACTACTAGTAATATTACCATATTACTATTTATTTCAGTAGTAAAAAAATAGAGATATTGGTAGTTTATCTCAGTAGCTGAGAGAAATGTTTGCAGCAGAGAGAATTTCACTTATCGTGGCCCTAAAGTATGCAGAGCTTCTATTTACTTTAATAAAAAAAAGATTTTAGGAGACACTTGTCTGAATGTGGTTTCTACAAACTTATCTGCTGTGTATTGAGTCAGGGGTTTAAGTACATCATTTGCTTCCATATGTATGTTTGAAGGAAAGTGATTTTAAGAAGGAAAATCAGTATGAATGCTATAAAACAAATGCCCATCAATGACACTATTTGCTTTGCTGTACCCCACATAGGTGTCTGGGATTCTCCCTATCTCCCCTTCCTCATACACCTCAGACCAGAGATCATGGGTGGTGGGGACCCTCCAAACATCCATTTGGGAGCAGCAGGGGTAGAGATAGAAGCCAGGACACCTGTCCTGGCTACATTAGGAACATACTTCAGAAATGCTTTGTGCCGGCCACCAAAACCTTCTTGTCCTGTAACCATTTCACTAAGGACAACAGTTACTGGGTTGAATCTTTCAGCCTCCTTCTCTTTTTACCTTTTAGCATCTGGCACTGTCTGATACTTCAGTCAGGGTTCAAATGCCTCTTTCTGGGTGTGAAAGCAACATTCTCTCGGAATCATTTCAGCTTTTCCATGACATTCAGTTTATGTTGGGACATCTTTTAATAAATACTATTTCAGTTAATGGTCCCAATTCTTTAGGTATTTTGTCCCAGTCTTGCTTGGTGGGCTAAGAAGGCCAAGTAACCACCTTTCAAGAAATGTTGCTGTCTTCTTGAGAAATGCTTTATCTGGACTTAGTTTTAATTTTTCATATTAGCCTGGAATATGCTCTGGCAGATTTAACTTGAAAAGTTCAAAATTTAAGGCAAATTACAAAATGCTAGAACATACATATAATGTCTTCTTTTCTTTTGTTTTCCCCTCAGCTTTACTGAGATATAGTTGACATATGGCTTCTTCTAAGAGAGAATGGAATGGACACATATGAACAGGTAAATGTGTGATGTTTTGGTACTCAAGGACAACATAGAAGTATGAATTAAGATTTTCATATTTTATTAAAGAATGAAAAAGAAGATATATTCCTTATTATTTTCCAAAATAAATAAGCTAAAACTCAATAGAATAACAACAAAAATAGTAGGTTTTAATAGACTCCTATAAAAAACCAGTGGGTCAAGCAGACAAAAACTAACTAAAGATTTAAGGGACTTGAACAAGTAAATTAAAGCATAATATAAGAGAACCCTGCATCTAATAAAAATGTTTTAACAGGATATTATAAAAGCACAAAACTAACATTATAAAAAAAATGAATACAATGTATTTTAAAGGGAGTGTACAGAGATTATATATTCTTTTCAAATTCATATGAACATAAGAATTCATAATAATTCTCAGATATTATCACATGAAGTTCTGTGACAACAATGTAATTAAATGGGAAATTACCAATAAAAGACAGCAAAACTCAGTATACTTGAAACACCCCCCTACGACCGCCACCACATAACCCATGAACTAAGAAGACAATAGTAAGAGAAAGTACAAGACATTTAGAATGGAATGCCTACCAGAACACATACATACCAAGAGGTTTCATAATCAGCTCAAATGGCACTTAGGGGTAATTTTACAGTTTTAAATAGATTTATTAAAAAGATAAGATCTCATTAAAGATGGGGGTGTGAGAGGAGAGACAGAGGCTTCCTCCAACTGGAAACAACTAGAAAATATAATTGGTGCAACTAATCCTGAGAGAGCAACAGGAAAGAGGACGGCATCAGACTGTATACACCTGGAGAAAATGGAGAAAAGAGCAGACCTCACCTAATGGGGTAACGTACCAGAGCTGTGGCTCCACGGGACCCAAGCCCCTCCCCCACCCCAGCTCACCAGTGGGAGGAAGAGAAATGGAGCAGGGAGGGAGTGGAAGGCTTGGGACTGCTGAATACCTAGCTCCGGAGATCTGCTCTGGAGCACAAACCTACAGTTCATGGTGCTTTCATGAGACTTGCATGACTACTGGGTTGGAAAGTTAATACAGGCAGAGTTCCTGGGGAGACTGGGACTCTGACTGCTTGTGGAAAGCAGGAATCCATATCTGGCTGCTCTGGGACAAAAACATACCTGTGTGCTCAGCCCACTGGCTCAGGCAGTGGAGACAGGCACAGCAGCCAGGAGGCGAGGAACAGCTCTTTCCTTCCCCCAGGAACCAGGACCGCTCCCCTGTGACCCCCGACATTGCTTCAGGGGCTCAGCAGCTCCAGAATACAGATTCTGGACACTAGAGGGCACCATATAC